AGGAGAAACGAAAAAAGAAAAAAAAAAAAACGATGGCAATTGGGATGGTTTTTTTGCTGTGGACGATGGCAGATGACAGGAGATATATAATTAACAAATTGTGGGCAATTGGGAAGGTGGAGAAAATACTTGTGGAGATTATTTTGGTCACAACTCTTTATTCTTTATTAATTGGAGTCAGTTATGGTCATACCACGTTTTTCCATATTTAAAAATATTATATTTAAACTAATATTGAGGTATTTATGTAAATAAATTATATGATTTTAGTTATTTTGCAAATAAAAATATATGGACCGTAAAATTATAATAAAAATGTTCTGCTGTAGTGCACAATGTAATTTTCTCTATATTTAATGTGAACAATTGTAAATTTATTATCTTTAACCATATTTATTAAATGTTCTATAATCACATATTTAGCACATGTCCCATATTTAAATGTACTCAAATTTTATCAAATTGCAATCAGCCCCATTGGGATTGTCTAATTTCCTAAATCATGCCCTAATTCCCAAATGGGCAAATCGTCATCCTCCCCAACACTCCACCAGCGCCATTCAACCATCTCCGGCCGATACATCTGACGTCGACGTGATAAGCGGTCTCAGTAGTTCCTATCGGTGCTTCTCCCGCCCCGACCTGATCTCCGGAGCCTACTTCTAGCGGGGTGGGTGAAATAGGCCGTCTATGTAGATGGACGAAAAACGAAGGCGATGGAGCTCCGGGAGATGGACCATCGACGGCGACGTGTGCGCGTGACTGAGAGCTCCGACGGTTGATGGAAAGATCCGGACGCCGACCGGTTGCCGGATTTTGTCCGAGATTTGTGGTTCAGGTGGATGGCAGAGAATCGGAGCTCCGGCACGTACGGCGGCGCGGCGGCCTAGCGGAGGTGCGGCGACGCCTGAGCGTCGGTCAGCCGTGACGCCGCCGGGAATTGGGAGGCCGGGGATGGGGCTGTTCTTCTTCTGCGTGTGTTTATATTTGTGTGTGTATATGTGTTGACCGATTTATGTGTGTGTGTGTGTGTGTCTGTACGTGAGAGAGAGAGGTGTGTGAGAGGTGTGATGTGTTTTAGCCACGTGGCATGAAATAATTGGACCTGTGTAATTTTTAGTTGACACAAATTAACTAGTAAAATGATAAAATATCTAAAATACCCTTAATGAATAAATAAATGATATATTTTTTAGCCATTAGATCATCCGATCTAATGGCTACGATGTATTCTTATTTTTCGCATTAAGAGTCATTCTCACCGGAGCGTGACTCTATATATATATATATCTCTTATATATATAAACCAGTTTGAGGCAGTTTGAGGCATTGAGAGATGGACACGTGTCCTTTGTGAATTCACATTATTGCCCCTAAATGTCCTTCGTAAAATGACTTTGTTCCTCTGCTTTGGCTTGCCCTTTTTTTTGTTTCTCTTTTTGTTGCAAATAGTTTTGTTATTTAAATAATTGGGAGAGAATTGATCTCAAAGCAATCACGATCTTGTTTTTAGTTTTTTTCCTTTTGCTCCCATTATCCCTCAAGATCAACAGAGGTTCAAAAAAACGAGATCTTGCCACGGGGTGAAAGTGTAATTCGCGGCTAGAGGCTCGGAAAATGCGTTGAATGATAGGTCGACAAACTGGAAATTGCAGGCGAATTTATTATTAGAAGGTGAGGTGAGGTTACCGGAGAAGGAGTTGCCGACGAAAAGGAGGGTGGTGAGGCCGGTTAACGGCATTAGGTCGGTTAACTGGAGGCGGTCCGTTAGGCCCACATTTCGGAGATCGAGTTTTCCGACCCGGCCTTGGTCGTTGCACGTGACTCCGTTCCAGGAGCAGAGCGCTTTGGAGGAAGTTGGGCCCACCCGGCCAGGAACCGGTTCGGGTTTTCCTCTTATCCAACATCTCCTCCGCCGCTACGACGAATCCACGAGGCCGCAGGTGCCCTCACGCGGTGGCGCAATCGAACGGGTAAGAAAAATTATCCCAAACTCTCCCCTCTCTTCTCTCACCAAACCCTAGCCCATCAAACAGAAAACAAAAATCAGAGAAAATGGAAGAAATCGCCTAAGACAGAGGGCTGGATTTTTCCGCCGGTGAGGCTTCGGTTGGTCGGATGTTGGTGGGTCCGATTGATTTTGTTCACCTTGCAATATTAATTTCACAAAAAACTTGTTTTTTTTTTCATTTTTCTTTAGCTTGCTCTTTTTACTACCGCCAGTATTGACGATGTGCGTTGGTGATCTTTATTTTTTTGTCGTTATTTTGCGGTGAAGATTGCATAGTTATGTGTAAAATGTTGTTATTTACCTTTCATCCATTCAGTTCCAAAAAATCTTGGTTGAAGGTGCGCTGGGAATCTGCCAACCGAGTCTCCTTGTTGCTCTTCGAGCTTTCGGTGACCTGCTTTTATGGCTTTTCCTTTTCTTATTCTCATTCTCTTAAATAAACTTACGGTTTTGGGTCTTTTTAGTGCTTTTGTTGCGTTTATATGGTGGTGTGTGGTGTGTTCTTATTGTTTTTTGTGCTAACGCCGATTTCTTTGTGGCCTTTTTAGAGTTCTGTCATATGTCTTTTTTGCCATGCTGACCTGGAATCTAGCATGGCTGATTTGTGCGTACGAATTTGCTATTTGTATTAGTAAAATATTTTTGTTTTCTTTCTTTATGGTGTTGCAGTTTTTTTGTGTTGCTGGGTTGTCGGCATCTTGTGCACTGGAATGTACTCTCGTGAGCGTGGAAAGGGGGGAAACGATGGGCCGCTCGACCAGCCTGGTTCTCTTAAAAACAAAAGACAGCGAAGTGATGCCCTTAATAGATGGCGGTCTAAAAAGAATCGTGCATCCCCTATGTGCCAAGGTTCTGGTTCTTCTCCGTCGCCTGTACCTCCACAAATTGGTGCGCCTTTGTTCAGGACCACTTCGAGTGATGATGCTTTGGCGGAGGTTACATGTGTTGGTGCGACTGCTGTGCCGACCACTGCGGGTTTGTTATGTCCATTACTTATTGGTTTAAAAAAAATAATTATCCAGCAATATTTCAAGTTTGTAATGGTCATGGTGTGTGAAATTAAAGTTTTTTCACTAACAACTCCTGTGTAATTACAGGCTCATCAGTGCCAGAGGTGCTGCGGCCAGACGCAGGTTTGTTGTGCCCATAGGTTGATGATTTCAAATTTCTTAAAAATAGAGCAATACCCAAATCCTTTTGTGTTTCTATAATTAGCAGGTTCTAGGCTGAACGATGGGCGCCATCTGTTGGGCTCAGTACCATCCGAGCCGTCCAGATTGCGGGAACAACGTTGTTGTCAACACTGCGGTGCTAAAAAGATAGCATATGAAACAGTTAAGTTTTGCTGTTCTGAAGGTGCCATAAAATTGGCGACTCACCCTATACCTGATTTGTTGAGGGACTTACTGTTTTCGTCATCGCACGAGTCGCAGCTGTTTAGTGCATAAGAACGATAAATAATCAATTTGCGTTTACTTCGTTGGGGGTTAAATATGATCAAGAATTAAGCAAACGTAATAGAGGTGTGTATACGTTTAGAATTCAAGGTCAGATGTACCATTTCATTTCTGACTTAGAATCAACAAATAATCTTCAGTTATACTTTCATGACACAGCACATGAGATGTCCAATCGTTTAGCTGCCTGTCCACGTCTAACTGAGTCAATAACTGTAAAGGTTTTGAAAATTCTAGAGAGCAATCCATACGTTAAGTTTTTCGCGGGCTTGAAAATCTTTCTAATCTTGATGATTGTCATATAGTTTTACGCGCCGTGCCGGCCTTGGATCAAAGAATCTATAATCAACCAACTGAATCTGAGGTGGCTGCACTGTGGGTGGATAATGGTTCTAATGAAGAGATATGTAGGCGTGACATTCAAGTGCACAGTAGGGGTGGTTTGTCGCACAAAATTCAATATTATTTTGGTTGTTATGACCCGCTGCAATATCCTGTACTTTTTCCTTTTGGACAGATTGGCTGGCATGAGGGTATAGAGAAAAAAAAAACCCCTGTACCTAACAATCGCAGGGGACCATGTAACTCTATACGCTTAGTTTCTCCCTTTTGTGCTGTGGATGCAGAGGACTTAATACATAGGGAGGAGAATGGTATGAAGAATGTACCTTCTTTTAAACAAACATGTGTTTATTGTCTGCAAATTTTCATTCTTTTTTTCCTCTGTACAGTTGGGTCGTTTGTCCATGAGGACCCCAGTTTTGTTTCTATGAGGGAGTATTATGCATACAAATTGCAGGTTCGTGAAAGTGATGACTCTTTCTTGCTTAATTTTGGTAGGCTTTTCCAACAGTATGTTGTTGACATACATGTTAAGATTGAGTCGCAGCGTCTGGACTTCTATAAAAAACAACAAATAGAGATTAGAACAGAGATCATGGCAGGTGTTCAGGATTCTTTGGCGAATGGGGAAATCGACGCATCTATGGTTGGCCAAAGGATTAATTTACCTTCTGGTTTTATTGGGGGGCCTAGAAATATGAAACGTCGCTACATGGATGCAATGACTTTGGTTCAAAATTTTGGTAGGCCGGATATTTTTCTTACAATGACCTGCAACCCGGCATGGCCAGAAATCAAGTCTTTATTGTTGCCAACTGATGAGGCGCAAAATCGACCAGATTTAATTGCTAGAGTTTTTCATGCAAAACTTGAGGATTTGAAAAAAGAGATTTTGACAAAACATGTATTTGGTGAGGTGGCTGCATACACGTACACTATTGAGTTTCAAAAGAGAGGCTTACCGCACGCTCACATGCTATTAATACTTAAATCCGAATATAAAATGTATACATCTGATGAGTATGATAGGATTGTGTGTGCTGAGATACCGGATCGTGCTATAAATCCTCATTTGTATGCTATGGTAACTAAACATATGTTGCATGGCCCTTGTGGAGAGTTAAATCGTGAAAATCCATGCATGAAGAAAATGGGTTCATGTAAGAATTTCTATCCAAAAGATTTTTGTGAAAAAACTGCTCATGTTAAGAGTGCTTACCCTCAATATAGGCGTAGGGATAATGGTATTTGTGTGAAGGTAAGGGGGCATAAATTAGATAATAGGTGGGTCATACCTTACAATGCGTACCTTCTTGCAAAGTTTAATTGCCATATCAATGTTGAGGTTTGCTCTACAGTGCAAGCTGTTAAGTATATATATTAGTATATTTGTAAAGGATATGACAAAATTGCCTTCCATGTGGATGCAGGACAACCGTCTCAAGAAATTGATGAAATAGAGCAGTATCGAACTGCCCGCTGGATATCGCCGCCGGAAGCAACCTGGAGGATATATAGGTTTCCTATGGGTGACATCAAACCATCAGTTATTCATTTGCAAGTTCATCTGAAGAATTATCATCGGATTTCATTTAGGAAAAAGGATCGGTTGCATAGGGTTGTAAATAATCCGCAAAATAAAAAAACAATGCTCACTGAGTTTTTTTTTTTATGAATGAAACGGATGAGTATGCACAGGAAATGAACCTAACGTACCTTGAATTTCCTAAGTATTTTGTTTGGTTGTCGACTGAAAAACGTTGGAAAAAAAGGTCGCAGCGCGATTGTGTAGGTAGATTGGTTACTGTGCACATTAGTGAGGGAGAAAGGTACTATCTTAGATTGCTTTTATTGAAGGTCCGCTGTCCTAAATCATACGATGATCTTCTTTTTTTCCAGGGCAAGCATGTTGCGTCGTTTCGGGAGGCTGCGCTCAGTCGTGGTTTGCTAGAGGACGACAACAGCCAAGAGGTATGTTTGCAAGAAGCTTGTCAGTATCAAATGCCTTATGAGTTGCGTAGGTTGTTCGCCAATTTGTTAGTTTATAGTTGTCCGCACAAGCCAAGAGAACTTTTTGAAAAATTTGAAGATGCATTATCAGAAGATTTTGCTCGCCAATCACACTTAACACCTGACCAAATAAAACTCAAAGTTCTAAGCCAAATAAATGGTTTTTTAGAATCTATGGGCAAAAAAATAAGTTCTTTCAATCTGGTGCCTGCTCATTTAGATATTGCAAGTGAATTGAATACGCGTGAGGTCGTTGCTGAGAAGAGTATAATTGTATCTGAAGAAGAGCTCAACATTGTTAAATTGCTCAACTCGGCCCAAAAAAAAGCATTTGATATAATAATGGCGCGCATTAATCAGAAAAAAAAAGGTGCTTTTTTTGTGGATGGACCAGGGGGGACGGGGAAATCATTTTTATATAGAGCTTTGCTAGCAACCATTAGGGCCGGGGGTGGTATAGCTTTGGCAACTGCAACATCGGGCATTGCTGCATCTATACTCCCTGGTGGTAGGACTGCCCATTCCAGATTTAAAATACCGATTGACCTGTCTGATTATAAATCGTGTAACATTAGTAAGCAGAGCAGTTTAGGGTCTTTGATCCGTGAGAGTCAGTTAATTGTGTAGGATGAGGCACCCATGGCTAAAAGGGATACCATTGAAGCACTGGATCTTGCTTTACAAGATTTGTGTGATCCTAACTGCCTTTTTGGTGGAAAAATTATTGTTTTTGGTGGCGACTTTAGACAGGTTCTTCCCGTTGTGCGGCGGGGTAGTAAAGAAGAAACTATAGATGCATGTATAACAAGTTCTCACCTGTGGCCTTTACTAGAAAAGTTGAAACTCACAGAAAATATGCGCGCGCGTTTGGACCCTTTGTTCACCTCTTTTTTGTTGAGGGTGGGGAATGGCCAAGAGAGAATCTCTGTGGATGGTCTAATAAAGATGCCCACCGCAATTACACTAACAGACCCGCTTGCAGACACAGCTTTGGACGAGCTAATTAACTTGATATACCCAAATTTAATTTGCCTAGGTGAATCTAATCTTTTCACAAACAGGGCAATTTTGACAACGAAAAATAGTTTTGTGGACGAGGTGAATCGTAGGCTTATTACACAATTCCCAGGTGATTTGGTTGAATACTTAAGCTTTGATAAAGTTGTAAACCCAGCTCATGAGGTAGAATATGGAGATCTCATAACTTCCCTCACGCCCAGCGGATTACCGGAACATAAGCTCCAGTTAAAGATAAATTTCCCTGTCGTTTTACTGCGCAATCTCGATCCAACAGAGGGACTTTGTAACGGTACACGGCTTATTTGCAAGCAACTGAACAAAAATGTCATTCATGCACAGATAGCAGTATGAGACTTTAAAGGGAAAAATGTTTTCATACATAGAATACCTCTAGAGCCACCTAAAGATGAGCAATATCCTGTTCCTTACACGCGCACCCAATTTTCACTCCGTCTATGTTTTGCAATGACCATAAATAAGGCACAAGGCCAAACGCTTGATTCCGTGGGAATTTATTTGAGGGAGCCCGTTTTTTCTCATGGACAGCTTTATGTAGCATTATCCCGTGCAAAAACGTCGAAAGATATAAAAATGCTTATAAAACCACCTTTTTTTGATGCACAGAAGCTAAACTGGACAAAGAATATTGTATATACTGAGGTTTTGCAGGCTGCCCAAATAGTTTGAATATGATTGCTTGCCAACTGTCATAGATGTCTCTTCAATGTGTCATATTTGCTGGATTGAGCACCATTCCTGGATGATGTTATGCATCGTCATGTGTTCAACGGCTAAATCGTGATTATATTATGGCTGCACACATGGTGATTCTTCTGTCTTTTTCCTGCCAATGTTTGTGGAATCTATTTACTTATCTGAAATTGTTGTTACTATTGCCTTTTAACTTCTGTTAATATCTTACTGTTCAATGCAGTAGTCTTTATTTTACTCTTATCATGTTTGTTTATTTAATTATTATTTGTTGTCTGGGTTCATCTTCTCTTTTAATTCTGTCAATAACAATTTCCAAACTATTGGAGTTTTGGTTGTTCGAAAATGGTTTCAGGAGTTAAATATGTGGGCAATATAAAGATAGCAAATCTGATTTATGTTTATTGCATTTTGAAATATTTTTTTAGGTTTGCAGGACAAATGTAAGGCCACTTGCCCCGCCACAATTTCGATCACACGGCTGTGAGATAACTAGCTTCCGCCTTAGTCACCGAGCACCAATTCAGTCTGGTGCTCTGCAAATTGGCTGGCCGGCTCACCGCTCCCGTACCACTTCCGTCTGGTGCAACTGCTCATCGAAGTACCCGATTCCCATCTGGTGGTCTCTCTATTACCTCTCCTCTACAGGTATTCATGGCTACATCTTTATCTTTCAATTTTTATTTATTTATTTTGTTGTGGGTTGTGGATTGCTAATGTAAATTCATGATATGTTTGTCTGTTGTTGTTTATACCTAATTTTTATGTTGTTTTGTTGCCATTTTTTATTACCGTTCTTTTTGTTTCAGCATTTCTATTATTATTTTTAGGGAGTGAATCAAACCACATAGCCCGAGGGTACTGCTCTTTGTTTTGCTTTGATGGTAAACTTTTTGTCATTTGCCGTTATTTTCGTTATCAACTTTACTTCCATTAAATAAGAAATGTCTGTAACTTGGTATGTTATTTCTTTTCAACATGTAATATAGTCTGGAGAAGGTGATGATGATGAACAATTGGATAAATTAAAGTTAGAAGTGCAAACATGAATAGATTACTTTCACTTAATGTACACAAATGAAACAGGATGTTGAGTCTCAAGTGTTCACTCCTACCGCCGACCATTATTTCAAAGAAAGTGGTGCTGCATCCGTGACTAAGCCATGCTGCCTTAAACGCGACATGTCGGTCAAACACCCTCTCGCCTTTGTTGAAGATGGACCTTTTACAGCTGAACTGCCAAAAATAAATGCGTGTGACTCTGCGCATGGAAAAAAGGATTCACACGAAGGGGCTATATCTCCCAGCCTAGTAAAGAAACCCCGTGCAGTGGCTTGACGCCACAGTGCACTCCTTATTTATTTTGGCTTGTCAATTAAAAAGTAATATAAATCATGTTAACTTTGTGTGTACTTGTTGTTATCTAGGCTGTTTATTATCCTTTGGAAATTTTCAGTGTATTAATCTAAGAATTAATTGCACATTCTATATATTTAAATGACTGAGAGATTCTGAGATTTAGAGCACATATCAGCTATGTATGTAGTCTGCAGCAACTATGTTTTGTAATTGGCACAGACCGTTGCCTCTTTTGTTATGTAAAATTACCCAGTCAAACTTGGTGCATATAAATATGTGTGCTTGCTTACATGGCATATTAGTTTGAACTTTTAAGCATTTTTTTCATTTGTTGCCTTTGTTCTTGTTATTCTTTTGATGGTGAGAGTATACCCAGCCCATGGATTTATGTGGTTCAGTATGTTGTTGTGATCATTTCACTGAAAAGACAAGGATGTTGTATGTTACTAGCAGCTCAAATATGCAGAATACAAACCACAATACATAGGTCCCCATTCTTCTATGACCATAAAAAACTAGAAAACAGGTTGTCACATGGAAAATATACAACAAAATAAAATTAGCGTGCATCGGAAAAAAAAAGTGTAAATTTTTTGTGATTGCAAATTGAGCCTAAGGTTTTTGGTTCAGTGAGAGTTCCGCATAGAATCCAATATTATTATGTATGTTATTATCTCCTTCAATATGTGCTCTTAATCATTAAAATAAAGACACTNTTTACATATAGACAAAAAAAAAATGCTTCTATACTTAAATTCAAAGACAACTAGAAGTAATTAATTACATTTTTAAGTAATTATATGAATAATGGTTAGGAAAAAAAAATTCCATTAAAACGATTTATGTTCTCTAAATTAAATTTATAAAAAAGGTACAAAGTGACTGATTATTTAGGACAAATGTGTTTTGTATTGGAGGTAAATTTTTAAAGTCGTTGATTTAATAATTGCATTAAGTTTTTAGAACATGACCTACTAATTTACATATAGACAAAAAAAAAAAAATGTTTCTATACTTAAATTCAAAGACAACTAGAATTAATTAATTAGATTTGGTGTGCAGCCGATTAGCCCACTTAATTTTATTGCTCTGACCATTTAAAAAAATAGCAAAACTCAGTTAAGTTTACAGTGAATATAAATCAGATAAATTTAGGTTTAATATGCCCCACAATTCTCGCACAAATAAACTCATTCATTTTGAAGCAGATTTGGGGTTGACAACAAGGGCGGTTCCTTATCAGTAGAGCCGTCAAAGGATGAAAAAATCAAATCAACGGCGCAATCTTTCAGATATGGCTGTTGGTTGTGGGATATGCGGAAAGGAACGGGTGCTTCTGATCGAATATACTGCCGGGATATTAGCTAGAGCCGACGGCTAAGGGTAGATCCTGATTTAGGGGCTACCTACACGGTGTTGCCGTATGCGCATAATTGGCGTCCTACTAAACGTGAGTTTTATGTTTTATATATATGTATATGTATATATGTATATATTGAAATTTTACAACAATTAAGGAAATTATAACCGAGCAACACAAATTTTGTTGTCCATGCCCTATTTCTGTATAATTTACCCTTATATGCTTTTCTATTTCCAAATTACTATTATTTTTTTTCTCTTCAACTGATGTTACCGTATATAACATGTTTTAATGATAAAAAACTTTCATTGTGCTGCAATGCTTTTAAAATGATTACACTGAACTGCTCGTGATTTACCAGTGTAGGCTAGAAAAAAAAATGGACTAGCTATCTGTCAAAACATTACGTAAGGTAGATATTGCAGTGTGGTGCCTTAGATATGACAAATCTTTAAAGATCTTTACTAATGAAGACCTACATAGCTTAGCAACAATCTATTTGTGCATATTTGTTGTTCATAGGATAATTCAATTCCTCTATATATACTCATCCTCCAACTTCAGCAACCCCACCAAATCATCCCAAGTTATAAACATACAAAGTGTAAGTACCAGCCCATTAATTATTCTTAGAAGAACTCAATCACAAAGCATTCAATTTTTATAAATAGTGATATTGTTTTATTATTCTTGACTAACTCAGATTTAATATCATTTTCAGGCAATCATGAAGAACATATTGTCAATTGCAAAGGTGCAGCCGGATGTTAGGGGGTGGACGGCATTGATACAAGTCGTCGAACGGGGTCATATACTTGTGAGTCAGAAGGACCCAACTGTCTCATACCGCAGGTTTCTATTTGTTGATGCGGAGGTGAGTTACTACTTAGCACAGCTAATACACTTGGACTCACCATTTAAGTAAAAGAACATTACCTTCTTTGTTTATATATATATATATATATATATATATATATATATATATATATATATTTTTATGGAAACAAACTAGGGGACAAAAGTATCGGCTGTGGCGTACAACAACAACATAAGGCCATCTTCAACGCTCTTGCTGCCGTTTAAAAGATACTATGTTTCTGGAGCTACCTTGAAGAGGGTTGATGAGAAATACCGGGTTGGCGACTATGAGTTCTCTTGGACCATCACTAACACCACATTAATCCAGCCATGTGAAGAACAGATTGCGCCTAAGATGTACGGCCACATTGAATTGCAGCAATTTCGCAATCTACATCGTTTTGCTGATACAGATAACCTACAAAGTAAGTGGCTTTCCTAATGAATCCATTGTTGATTAGCCGATGCTTAATTGTTTGAGTTTTTTTTATTAAATTTCATACAATTAGCATTATTTTTTTTTCTTTGTAGATGTTCTTGGTGTTGTGGCATACGCGTTTGAAGAGAAGCAGATTGGGTTTGATTCGGTCAATAGAGATATTTTGATCGTTAATGAAGAGTAAGTTTGAAGTACTGTTGGTTTAAATTTGAACATGTAATATTAAGATACTATGATGCAAAGTAACAACATTTTTACCTGTGTAGGAATATGCCAATCATGTTAACACTATGGAATGATTTTGCCACTACCGAAGGTGCTCAACTTGCTGCTGCCATTAATGTCGGCAATGTCATTCTCGCCATGCGTGTTAGGGTGACAACTTATAATGGTACCTTAATGTTTGACCGTTGTGTAACAACTTTGCCAATTTATTAGACAATACCTTAGTTTTTTTTGTTGAATGGCAGGCATTTCACTGTCCACTCGGGCTCAAAGCGCTATTATGATAAATCCACCTTTGCCTGAAGTCACAACACTTAAACAGTGGTAAGAGGGCTACTAATTCATTGTTTCATTCTATTCAGCATTGTACTAATTCAAAGCCCAGAGTTTAAGTCTTATGTTGTAACCACAAGGTACATTAACAACAAGGTTGAGATTGGACAATTGATATTTGCCGGAGCTTATAAGGATGTTTCCACTTTGTTGCTCCCTCCAATGCCTGATAGGATTATCACTCTCCAAACATTAATAGATCCTGAGTGCAACGTAAGCTAATTATGCCCAAATCTTTCGTAAGACATGCAATACCTTCTGAATTAATGTTGTGGTCTAACAAATACTTTTTTTTCAATTTTAAATAGATTCGAACTGCATGGATTCAAGGCACTGCTTCTTTGGGAGCCATAAACCAACCTCTCTGGTTTGGTGCATGCATGAATTGCCGCAAGAAATTCGAGCTTCAAGTCACCTCAACAATAATATGCAGCTCATGCAACAAACAAAGTCAGATTTCAGCAAGGTATTTGTAGCAATGCAATGCAAAATATAAATCTGCAAATACATTAACATTAAAAACAAAAATGTTGATGATATGATCTGCTTTGCAAACTGGCACAGGGCAAGGATTCCAATCAAAATTGAAGATGGTACTGGTTTTATTGCTGCCGTGGTCTATGGAGAAGATGCTGAGCTACTAACCAAATTCAGTGGAGTGCAACTCCAACAGGCTGACGAAAAGGTTGTTCATCTTTAATAAAAAAAAAATGTAAAATCCTACTAAACATTGCTAAAGGTTTCATAGACTTCAAATATTTAAACCACTGTTAGTAGTTTTTTCTTTTGATTAATTTCGGTGGAGCATAATTATTGAAATATTCATTTATTTAACCAGGTGACCTAGCATAATATGTTAATTGTGTAAGTGCTGCAGCATATTCAATGAATGTTGGTACACTTGCTAATCCTTTCATCCTCATACATATGCAGGGTGAATACATATTGGAGAAGCTTGATGCAAACATGAGGGGCAAGCACATAGTTTGCTTTGTGAGAATGTTCAATGTGAATGGCCCAAGTTACTCGGTTGTCAAGCTTTACAAAGATAAAGATCAGGAAGATGAACCAGCTCTAATTGAAAATGAGAAAGAAACTAAACAATCACTGTCTGGAGATAAGGTTGTTGTACTTTTTTATATTTTACAATTTTTTATATGATGTACAACAGCTTACCCCACAACAAAAAAGTACATACCCATTTGACGGTTATCTCTGTGCAGGAACTGTTAGAGTCACAGCTGTTCACTCCTAGCGCAAAAGCATGTCTGGAGGAGGTAGCTGCCCAAATTTTGAAGACCGACGTGCAGGGGCAGCCAAAAGCAAGTGTGAGGCGCGTGCTAAACTTGGAGGATGAGTCGTCTGACTCGATGGGTAGCACTTCAGCGTTGGGCAACGATTATGTGCCTGGAACCTCCGGTGAGGGCAGCGGCACTACCGACGAAAATCTGTCTGACAGCCCATTGAAGAAAGCACGCACCCACACCTAAGGGTGGTGCTTTAGTATGCCGAGACAGCTCCTTTTGCATATATTCGACAATGCTATAGATGTTATGTCTTATGTTAATATTGTGTGTTGTACCCTTGCTGTCTTGAGCCCTTTTGGAACTACTTTTGTTTTCTTATCAGTTTAGAATAGATTTAGCATCTCTGTGTTAGGTTGCTAAACTAAGTCTAAATTGCTAAAATCTCTATGCTGATTGTTTCTCATGAGAAGAAACATTGTTTTGTGATAGCCTACTATGGTCACCTTTTGTTGATGAAATGGGTGTTGCTGTGTTTTCCTCCAATTATGTACACATTTTACCACTAATCAATGTTTACTGTTAAAACTTTGTTTTTTATTTTTTTTTTATTTTATGTTGCTCCATATCTTACTATATGCCACTTGAAGTATGGAGGTTCAAAAAATTTTGTTCTTTCTGTTAATTAACACAAAGAAAATTCCATTTTTTTCCTAAGAGATAGTACATATAAAGACGATGATGATGGTAAATTTGCTGTTTAATTTAAAATACAGATTCCCTTCATAAGGTATATTTTCAAAATGCGGGTTTTGGACTTTTCAGCTCTGGGATTCAAGAGCAGAATAAAGAAAACGATCATATATGAGGTATGTTTAATTTATAGGCCTTTTTGAACTTTTTTCATTTTTCCTTTTTCTTTTTGTTGGGATTTGTGTTTTTTGTAATACTCATGTAGATTTGTCAAGGGTTTATATAACCCTGACAAATAATACTATGTTCTTTCACTTACATGGTTCCGCAAATTTGTAATCCAATTTTGTTTCTTCATCATGTTACTTGACTTAAGATTGTGCCATGTCACTGGTCTCAATCATAATGGCTACTTGCATGTGAAAATTGACTATCAAGCTTCACTAACTTTTTCATTTTGTTCATCTTAGAGGCATCAAGTTTGATTGATTCAGGCAGAAAAAAAAATGGGATTTTTGATAATAGGAAGTTTGAAAAATTTTTGTTGGATGTGGTGGACACAGTTAGCATGCTCAATTTTGGAGCTAAACGTCATTGAGGTGATGAAATTGCTTATGATACTAAGGTAAATAAAGTTATTTGAAGTGTTTTTAAGGTAAAATGTGAAGTCATAAATCTGGAAATTTAATATGTGATGATTATGCTGAGGAAGCCTCTCATTGAGGTCGAAAATTCTCGATTTACCTCGAAACTATGTTCACCAGACACAAACAATAACATAGTTGTTTCTAAATTTCGACTCTAACCTGATGCACATGATGTTTTCGAATGTGTTCAATATATTTGTTCATGACCAAACAAGAATGTTTCTTTATCGCCATTCCAAATGACGCTATAATTCTTTTTCTTTTGGAGTTTACAAGAGTATCCATGTATCAATGGCCAATCCTGACTTCTAATGTAATGTGATTGTCTTTTTTTTTAAACAGGCGAAGATGACTAGATTCTCATCGAACTCGACAAAACAACTTTCAAATGCAATTGTGATAAAAAACATGATAGTAGCCTGTGATTATGGTGAAATTCATAACATGGTCAAGAGGCATATTTTCAATAGCATGTTGGGACCTAATGGTCAGGTATATGTATGAGCATTACACTCAGAGATACGTCTTCTGGTGTTCTTTCATCTCCAAATTATTGTAATATATCCTAAAGATGCAACTCACTCTAGGTTGTTTATTATTTCAAAAACAACATCAAATTTACAGAGATACCATCATGGAAAACCTGTCGAAACAATTGAGAGCTTGTCTGAAAAAAAAACCTCTACCAGCTTTGTTAACGTGCTTCTGTATCATTTACCGTGTTTTGATTTGTGTTCAGATTTCCTGGTCTTTTCCATGGCTTCAATTGTTTGTCCTGGTGAATTTCAGGGTTATTTTTTTTCCTTCAAATGTACAAGTCAAGCAACCGAAATAAATTCATTATTCATCCATTAACACTTCTGTATTAACTTAACTAGGTACGTCTTATTGAGACCAAACTTTCACTTGATTATTAACTAAATTTGGCCAACTGAGAAGTTGAATTATATCATATACAATAAATGCAGAGAGGGTTTTTATAGTTCACTTTGATGTGGTTTACCTTATCGTTCATATCAATGTAATAGTTTAATTAAAAAAAAAAACAACAACAAATGCAAACAAGGAGTATAAAATTATGACCAATAATTATCAATTAATTAAAAAAAATAACAGACTGAATAAAAGTTAAATTACATTTGGCTATATTCAAATAACATACAAACCTTAATTTTAAACTTCAACATGGACACAAATAAACCATGTGTAAATCTATCGCCATATACTTTGTGATTAATTTAAATTGTGCAAGACCCTATTTAAACAGTTATGAAATGCAAACTTTGTCGATATCTATTGAACATAAATTTCATTTCTATCGAATTTAATAACAACGTTTAAATATATATATATATATATATTTAATCACGATTGAACATTTCAATGGACGACAAATTTTCACTAAATTTTAGACTAAATTTGAGTCGGTCGTGCGTGCACGACCGTCAGACCAACTAGTATATATATATATAGGGGATGGATCCAATGAGACCACTCCTTAAAATGAGTACGTGAGACTCAATCTTAGCCACTCATTTTGTCTAGATCAAAATCAATTAAAATATACATTAATTAAATAATAAAATAATTATTAGTTGACTCCGGCGTTGACCGTTGACTTCCGGCGTTGACTTCCGGCGAGAATCGTTGACTTCCGGCGTTGACCGTTGACTTCCGGCGTTGACCGTTGACTTCCGGCGTTGACCCGTTGCATTGAAGTAAATAACCTAGCAACAAATGATACTCAACCTTGAGTGGTGTAGTGGTTGCATTGCTTGTCTTGCTTCCATGAGGTACCAGGTTCAAATCCTATGGGCTACAATTTTTTTATAAAAAAAAAATACAACTAACTTAGCAGCATCAGACAACTAACCTAGCAACAAAACACAACTAACTTAGCAGCATCAGACAACTAACCTAGCAACAAAACACAACTAACCTAGCAGCAAGAAAGAACAACTAAACTAGCAACAAAGACAACTAACCTAGCAACAAAACACAACTAACCTAGCAGCAAGAAAGAAATAACCTAGCAACAAAAGACAACTAACCTAGCAGCGAAAAGAAATAACATAACCTAACAATAAAAGACAACTAACCTAGCAGCAAGAAAGAACTAACCTAGCAGCAAGAAAGAAATAATCTAGCAACAAAAGACAACTAACCTAGCAGCAAGAAAGAAATAACCTAGCAACAAAAGACAACTAACCTAGCAGCAAGAAAGAACTAACCTAGCAACAAAAGACAACTAACCTAGCAGCGAGAAAGAAATAATCTAGCAACAAAAGACAACTAACCTAGCAGCAAGAAAAAACTAACCTAGCAACAAAAGACAACTAACCTAGCAGCAAGAAAGAACTAACCTAGCAACACAAGACAACTAACCTAGCAAGAAAGAAATAACATAACAAAAGACAAATGGTCAACGGTCAACGCCGGAGTCAACGATCAACGCCGGAAGTCAACGGTCAACGCCGGAAGTCAACATTTTTTCACCGGAAGTCAACGGTCAACGCCGGAAATCAACGGTCAACGCCGGAGTCAATGGTCAATGGTCATAATAATATTTAAATAATTAAAAATAAAGAGTTAAATAATAAAAATAAAAAATTATTATTTAAATCAAGATCTAAATCTTGTGGCTAGGAATGAGTCTCACGTCCTCACTTTAAATAATGGGATGCATTGGAACCAATCCCTATATATATATATATATATATATATATATATATCTTATCTATATATGAAGAAGTGTGTGGTCTGTGACATGTGTCCCTTAATGACATTGTGAAAAACTGACAAGTGTCCTGCTTTTATTACATTTTTGCCATTGTTTTTTGGTGGCCATTATTTTTTATTTTTTTTAATTCAATCAGGAAAAACGGTGTCTGGTATATAAATTGACTTATAATTTACGTAAAAACCCTGGTTTTGAGGGATTATTTCGGTCAATTCACTACCTCATAATGGAAATAACTGTAGCAAGTACACACACGATTGACATATTCTCTCACCATGGCAAAAGAGATACTGTTTGGAAGATGATTTTCTGCCCTAAATTCTGGCCCGACGTCCGCTACTATCTCTTCCCCGCATTCTGCAATGATATGATTGCCGCCAATTGCGATTAACTCTGCCGAAAGTGTGGCGGTGGCTTAATTCTGAAGCAACAAAATTGGTCAAAACACTGGAATCCGTTCTCTTCCCATTAGTATAACTGTAGAACCTAACCTCTCCATCTTCTTCTCTCTTTACAAAAAGCCTCTCTTCCATCTAACCTTCTCTTCTCAAACCCTACCATCAAATCCCCTCTTGCAATTTTAGGAATTCTTCGCCGCACTGGTGGAAAAGAAGGTGTCGGAGTTCCGTCTGAGAACGGGAGTCCACCCAAATTAGAGATAATGTGCTCCCTTCTGCTAACAACCACCACTCGCACGACACCAACCCTGCCTTCCGCCGCTGAAACCACCATTCCGTCGCCGTCCTTGACCTCAGCGGTGGTCCTTCTTGCTCCGCCCTCCAAAGCGCCATTAGGTATACTCTCTTCGCACTTTGTACAAATTTCATTCACCAATTCCAATAATTTTTTAATTAGTTAAAATAATGATGTCAAGTGTGTACGCTAACGAATCTTATGGCTGCCTTCATTATCGCCTTCAAATTTGGCGAGATTGGAATAAACTCAAACAAAAAGTCGAGTTTAATCAATTAGCTATCTCAGGTCGGAACATTATTATTACTGATATGTTGACGTGTTCGTTTGGTTGAGGTTTGATTGGTATCATATAATGGCGCTGTATAGATAGGTAGCAATGATAGCAGTTGTTGTGCTGAAATCGTGGGGGAAGATGTGAGGCAATTTAGGCATACTTCTTTCGTTACTATGTATCTCGATAAATGGTTCGCTATGTGCAATTTTTTGTCATAATTCCAACTAATGGATGACGAGCTCGAGAGTGGTTAAGCATAGAATCAGCCCTAGAAAGATGAGATCGATGGTTGATATCTATGAAACAGCTGTTTCTTGCACTTCGGAGGCCCTTGATAAAAGGAATGAGACAAATTGGGCTTCGAACTTGCGTTTTCCAGTGCAAGATTTGAAGAGTGGTAATAATATTAACAGTGATATAAGTATATCATAAATAATAATAATCATTCTTCAATAAATGGTGAGGACAAGAACGAAGAAGGTGATGAGTACTTTGATTCCAGTGGCACGAAGCTTAGGATACTTTCAAGGTTTAGTCGTAAGAGTGTTGATTATAATAAAAGAATGGAAAAGATGATTGTGGGACTATATATGAAGCTGGTCGAGAGAGATAAATCAAGCAAAATTGTACAGACAAGAAAAAGAAGTATTTCCAGAGACCCAAGCTTCTAAAATTCCCTTGTTTTCAACACGGACGATTTTCTCCTAGGCTCGAACGCAATCCAAAGGTATGTCGGTTTTTTGAGTTCTTGGGTTTGTTGGTCGTTTTATAGTATTATATTTGAATTTGGGTGAATTGTTTGTGATATTAGTTTCCAGTAGATTAATGTACAGATTGAAGATTGTTTTGGGGAACTCTTTCTCACGCTCGCAAGGAAAATTGCTATTTCTTTCTTCCTTTTAAGTTTGATAATTTGTTAATTACATAGGTGCATACTGCATTAGAGAGGGTGAAAACTCATTTGATGTTTCTCGTGGACAGTTATTAATCAAATGCATATAGGTTTGAAAAATGCTTCTTTTCTGTCTCACTTCTTTTTTTCTTTTTTCGATTATGTGGGAGTGTAAAGTCTCTTAGGCAGTATAAGTTCATTGCATATAAATGCATAAACTGCTTCTTTACTTTCTTTCTTGCTTTTTTTCACACAAATTCTCAGAATTCACACTATTCTCTCACTTGCATACAATTAATTTTAGAGGGAGAGGAAGGGACCAGACTTTTGCTTTTGGCTGCACATCACTTCGCTCACAATCAATTTCAGAGTGGAGGGAGATGAAGAAACCAGGCTAATTACTTTTCTCCCTAATCGTATATTCACTCCTTCGCAAGCCCTAGACGCTACCACTTGAGCTCATATTTTCCCCAGTTTAGCGTGATCAGGGTGCTTTTCTGATGGACAGAGGTGAAAGTTCTATCTGATGTACCAAGTTTTGGTGTGTGAATATGTTGTTCGAGGCAAAATTGTGACCCTTTCTCAGCAAGTAATTGATTGTTTGCCTTTTTGTTGTTGATTTGTATAGCGTTCTTTTCTGGTGTTGTGTTATCATTAACGTGCTTTTTCTAATAAGAAGTTACAAGATGAATTGAAGGTCAACCCATATGCTCATCCATTTGATGAGGTATCTATTCCTTTCTTAGCTTACAAAATGGAATACTTACTTGTAGTTTGTGATTCATAATATAATATATGAACTATGTTTTCATATGATTTGTGTGGAGAGTTCATCTAAAATGTGGATTTGTATTTAATATAGAGGGACTTTAAGCACAAAATGGCAGTTGGTGCTTGTAATATTTGAAGATTAGTAAGCATAGACCGGTCTGTTTTTTTAGTTTATTCTCTCATATTTGAAGTTATTTAGAGGGAATTTAGTGTGGTTTCTTCTCTTCTGCAGATTACTGCAATATTGGATGGAAATCTTCAATCACTAGGATCAGCAGCCAATCATGTTTTTTGAGATTGTTCTTACGGGTCGTGCATGCCCTGATTTCTAATCTTAGGGTGGGGTCAGATGTTTTTTATGCCAGACGAACTAACAGTAACAAAGTTGGAGGTATGATGATTAGATAAGAAATTTGCTCCTTTGTACACAAAGTGTGCGTTTTAGGAGGGCTGTTGTGTTTTCGGTTTGGATATATAAAGGTGTGTGTTAGTTGAGATAGATTTGAGAGTTATGTGTTGTCTGTTTTGATGTAATAGTGATTGAACTCTTATTGTATGTGTGTTGATGATATATCAATATAAAGCTCATAAAATTGCATACATTGAATGTGTCAAAGTATATTTTATTTAAAAAATATAGCGTTACCAATTCAATTGGTTTATTGGCTTGAAATTGATCTGTTGGAGTGTAAGATTTTTGTTGTTTGTGAGTGTGTTTAATTAATTTATTTTGAGTATTTATTCATTTCTATTGTTCCCTTGGCAGAAAAAGTTCAGTTACAGTTCCTTATATGTGAATTGAAAAAAGATGTTTTACATTAACTGACAATGCATTCAATTTTTGCGAATTTTGAATATCTCTGTGTGTGTGGGTTACATTATTTTGGAGTCCTGATGGTCTCAATTTGCAGTATATTGGATGGATCTTATTTTGGAATCATTTCTTATTATATAAAATCAAATGTATTGGAGTTGAAGTAAATCATTTCACAATAGCAAGTAAAACTGACTACTTCATTTTAACTCACTTTTTATTTTCACAATTTTCTCTTGTTATAATTATTTACTTTATAAAGATAAATAGATAATCTCTCAAATCACTTAAAAGTTGATTTAATAGTTATTTAATGTAACGAGATGAGGGAACACTTCAAATTACTGTTGAGTTTTTTCCTTTTGCATAACACAAGGTCACGGGGACGGATGCGGCTAATGACGAAAGAGAGTTCTGCTATGGCCAGCTGACGTCCAGTGAAGTATGCTGGCCCACGACGTCTACTTCCCGACGGCTAGGGTTTCTTGGTCGCGAAGGCCAGGGCTGCAAACCTTGCTTAGAGAGTATTGAGAGAGAAACTTAGAGCAATTGAAACAATATCATCTCTGCGGCTGTTTTTACACCTCTTACTCTTTAGTTTCATGTCTTATAAACATAAAGCTCCAGCAAACCTAATTAATCTTTGTTTTTGTATGACTGATAAGTTCCTTGATTGACACATTTTGTCTGCATCTCAACGGGTCTTATGACCGATAGTGTGTTGCCTTTCGTTTTGCCTGTTTTTTGTTCTTGTGTTAGCTTCCAAATCAAGGGAAATGATGTAGCAGGAAAGCAAGTGATGGGATTATTGTAGAGAGAACGAAGAACTCACAGACAACTTTTCTAATTTTCCATATCTGATAAATGATAATTGCCCGTACATGAGCTACACGACTATTTTTAAACCATACATAAAAATCCTATCCACTATTAATAAAACAAGCCCAACATAATAATCCACTACAACATAATAAAAGCCTAAACATAACATAAATAAACATAAACTAAATAATAATAATAATAATAATAATAATAATAATAATAATAATAAAGGCCGGAGACGATCATATGTGTCGAGAAATATCAACACACTCTCGTGGGCATCAGTTTACGAAAATGTTTGTACTCTCTTTCTCTGCCAAATTGTAAGCAACTTAGGCTAAGGAAATGTTGACTGTGAAGATGGCCATTGTTAAGAGTAAACTTTATGTTGCCGTAAAAACATATAACAGTTATATGAGGTGGTATATTTGGAACATTCGTGTCGTTCTTATTTTATATAGTGAAAAAAAGGTACACTATTGTAAAAATTAAAAAATACTTTTTTTTTTTTGCGAAATAAAGCATTGAATTGTAACATGTATTTTGTAAATGAAACAATCAGATCCAATTTGATTTTCATTTCAATTAATAGTTTAATTTAAATGATTAGTTGAAAAATTACAAATTTAGAAAATATAGCAAAAAACATAAATTTTATGTTATAGTCGATTTAATAGAGGAATAGTATATTTCTAAATTTTGTGTTAACGAAAAATGACATATATTTTTTAAAAACAATTTAGTACACTGAATCTAAGTTTAGGTTTCTTTGTTTGTTGCTTAGAGAGAGAGAGAGAGAGAAAGATAGAGGGAGAGAGAGATACACAACAAAAAAATGAGCAAAAATGAAGAAAGAAACTCGATTTCCTACCCATTACAAACTTTGTGCGCTTGTACAAAAATCTTGTAGCAATAGAAAGAATTTTCAGACAATGTCAACTTAACAGGCATGATATATGTAAATCGCTGCAACAACCGCCCAAATATGAGTTGCAACAACTGCACTGCAACAACTGCCACAAAAGCTGTGTAATGAGGCATTTATGTCCAAGATTATTTTCTTAACAAGCAGTGTACAAATTGCCAATGGATTTCAATGCTCATTACAAGGACAAATTTTCACTATATTTTTAGACTAAATTTGAATCCGCCGTGCGTGCACGGCGTGACCCAACTAATATATATATATATATATATATATATATATATAGGAAAGGGTTCTAATAAGAACCCCTCTTAGTGTGAGAACTAGGAACTGATATCAACCCTTCATTGTAGTATTTTTGACGGGCTGGATTAGATGTATTCTTAATAGCAACAAAATTACAAAGCAATTAATTAATAGTTGGAGGATAAATTAGGAACAATAGACTTTTGAGAATCCTTTTATTACTGTAAGTCCGGTTTTTAGGAAATTGAATAGTCACAGAGAAGGGAACTCCTATAAATCAAGCAGAACAATATGACAAAAAAAACAAAAAACATCATGCTGCATCTTTACTGCTATGATTACAGAAAACTTACAATAAAATAGCCTCCACAATAAATATACGCGTGAAAGTTGCGATTTTTTTAATTACATTTTCCATTATGTTTAAAGTTTAGTAATTTTTTTTTATTGAATCCCTGGAAATTCAAGATAGAAAACTTCATTTTAGAATAACGCAGTGCTTCTTTTAAGCTGCAACTTTTGTGAGAAGCTATAATTTTAGTGGGTTCTTTGAGAGTGGTGCTAATGTAGATGATTTATTTTTGCTAATATTGTTTCAATTTGTTGCAAGTTGTTATTTTAAATAAACTTTATGCTTTATAAATTGGTAAATTAGCCCAAAATAACAATAATAATAGACATATATTATGATGTATCGATTTTTTTTCTAAATGTTGCTTTTTTATTTAAAAAAATATGGGTTGTTTTGAGAATTATTATACTCTAAAATAACTAGTTTGAAATAGAAACAAAGCAAGCAGTTATACAGAATGCTTTAATTTTTTATTATAAACTTGTTGCATGTTATTATTTTAAATTAAATTTATTCTTAAGAAATGGGAAAATTGGCCCAAGATAAAAATAATAAAGATATTTTAGCTTTTCCATTGTATTGTGCTATTGTTGCCTTATTGTTTAATAAATATGAGATATTTTGAGAATTATTAAATTCCTATGTCATATTCGGTTGTCTAAGATTTAAGAAATTAGAAGATTTCTTATTAAACCACATAATTTAAATGAGGCTATCAACCATTCATTTCATTGCTAGTAATTGCATTTAATATTGCTAATTTCATATCTAGTTGACATGATGCTATTAATTTGTACCACATATGAGCAAACATGTTACTTCTATCACTTTCGGAAAAAAAAAGATATGTTAATCTTGACTAGATGTTGAACTTAAAAAACCGTACACAAATTAAAGAAAACAATAGAAAACATGTAGTGATTTTTTTATTATTTTTCTCACATAAAAAATCATAAGACTATGTTTGGTAAAACTAGCTGATAAGCTAGTTTATAGCTTATTTGTAATTTTCGAGCTTATAGCTTATAGCTTATGATTTATAGCTGAAAAACTAGCTTATATGATAAAAGTATTTGGTAAAATTAGCTGATAAGCTAGCTGAAATAAAAATTTCAACTAGCTTATTTGAAAAGCTACCAAAAGAAGCTTATCAAATAAGCTCGTCCTACCAAACGGAACTTATTTAAATACAGGAGCTTATAAGCTAATCAAATAAGCTATAAGTTAGTTTATTGGTCTACCAAACATAGCCTAAATAACGGAGAAAATAAAATTATGGAGCTTAGATGTTGATTCCATGGTTGAACTAATAATTAGGCGTAGACGATAGAACTTCTACAAAGTGTGTTTTTTCTGTGAATAAAGTGAAAAATACATTAAATCAACTAAAGTGAATGATTTTGGTAGAAAAAAAAAAAGGAAGTTTAGTAATTCTTACTATTTGAACAAAAGACCTAAATCGCAGAAACAGTCATCACAGTTGTTATATCCCCTAAAAATACGCACTAACATAATTAATAACAATGATTTTGACAAAAATAGACATACATAATTAATCATGGTATTTTATTAAAATATCATAAATAATCAAGATCGTTGATAATTATGTAATCAAAGGATAGGATGGGTTCCTAGTTCTCACACCAGGAGTGAGTTCTCATTTGAACCTCATCCTATATATATATACTAGTACAGAGCCCGTGCGATGTACGGGGTGCACAATTTTAAGGCTATTTATCAAGTCTTATAATTATATACATGAATAAAGAAAAATGTACGGGATATATATAGTACGTGACCCGTACAAAGCATGAGATATATTTATTTGGAGAATATTATATTATAAGATGCAATATTCAATAAAAGTTTATAATACGCAAGAAAATTGTACAATGTTCAATAAAAGTTTATAATATTCAAGTGGAGTCTTAAAGTCTCTTATACATTAAGACTACTGATAAATTAATATTTTAATCAATGAGTTTTCTTTACTTGTAGCCAAATTGTGAATGTGATTTGAGGAGTACAACAAATCGATATATAGCTGGCTTGCTTTTTCCATTGTAGTTTTTTTTCTTTTTTTTTATAATAAATTTAAAGATATTCTAAAATATAGCAAAAATTAATTTTTTTTATTACAATTAGGAATTTTATTAAATATAAACTCTCAATCTATGGTGTTAAGCAACGTTTAAGTCTAAAAAATTAGGAATTTTTACCTCTTTTAATCAACCTTTAAGTCTAAAAAACAATAGAGTTATTATAAGTTTTTTTTCTACATCTTTTAAAACATTAAATATGAGCATGTTAGGGCTA